ACATCTACCTGGTTATCAGTTTTGCGGACCAGGCACCAAATTGAAAAAGAGATTGGAACGCGGTGACACCGGTGTAAATCCTATGGACGAATACTGTAAAGATCACGATATCGCGTTCTCTCAAAGCGACTCCTTAGAAGACCGTCATAAAGCAGATCAAGTGTTGGACAATAGTGCTTGGGAACGCGTTAAATCGAAAGACGCTAGATTTGGTGAAAAAGTTGCAGCTTGGCTCGTAACTACAACAATGAAAGCGAAACGTAAGCTCGGCATGGGGCTGTCCTTTCGACGTAGTATGCTTCAAAAAATTACTAAAAATTGGAAGCCACATCCTACCAATATTGAGAATGCTAAACCTTGGGAATTATTCGATGTTTGGCATAGATCACCAAAGAACTACCAACATCGATTCATTTTGCAGATTCGTTTACCATGTTTCGTCCATTACCGACATGAGGTACCACCACCTACATAAGCTGCGTCATCGCTACAAAAAGCAATGTATTATGGTCCTCTGAGTTCACAAATAGAATGTTATTATTATATAAATGAATGATTTTTATTCAAAATGTTGTTTCAATCATTATTTAAGGAGATGTCATACTGCCATTATATCAGTCATAGTATGGGGTGGAGCCAAGAATTTATAAATGAGACACTTAAAATCACACAAAAATGGATTTTAAAGGTAATTACTGGAAACGGTTACAGATATTCAAGTGATCAGCTTTTAAAAGATGCTGAAGTACTAGATATTCCTCAGTTATTTGTTCTGTATCTGGCATTATACCAACACAGAAATGCATATAACACCAAAAACATTGAACATAGTTATCCGACTAGATACAAAGAATGTTTCCTAAGTATACCCCGTATGCTGAAAACAATAGGACAGAGATGTCATTTATATCATAATAGTTTGCCATACTTATTTAAAACACTCAACTCGGTATCTCTATTCGAGTCTAAAGTACGAAAATGGTTAATGAGTAAACCGCGCAATACCTGAAAAATAACTAACATTGCATTATTGACAATATTAGGACACAATTAAACGCAATATTATTCTTTAATCTATGACGACTAGAATTAGTTTGAAATTTCGATTTTGATTAGCGAACGATCTCATTTCATCCAAGTCCATCAGCCATAAATCATCCATTTTTTTGATGACTGTACGGCGTCGAGGATAATTTTTTCTGATTGGTTTATGTAGTTCGTTGAAAAGTTGAATCTTGTTTTTGGAAGTCATGACGACTGATGGTGAAGATGTATGAACCCCGCTCTTTTATTATGGTTATACTTAAATTTCATTCTGCATCATGTTGATTTCCTTGATAGTAAATTGTACCTTGGCTATAATCGAATTCTTTCGGTGATTTGTTTGGAGATGTCACCTTGAAATTTGGTTAGTTTTTCATTTACTTTTACATTTAGGTTGAAAAAACCAGTACCAACTTCACGACGATTTCCTGCTGTAGGAAACAACGATTTGATTATGTTAGTGTACTTGTATCTCTGTGTACATTTAAGATGCCCAGCCGGATTCTTGTGAGCGCTCGATAAATCCAAAATCTTTTTGTATACATTCACATCCTCAGCATTATAATTTTCAGGCATGTCAAGAAATAACAGTTCATTTATACCTGGTGTTCCTTTCCTGTGATACCCAGCCAATTTTATGTATCCGCTACGCTTAAAATCGATTTCTTTTTGACCTAGGAACCATTTTGAAGATACCCCATCATACATGGTACCGTATACTTTGTCGTACGGTCGAGACATTATCGGATATTGATCGTATCGGATATTGATCGATATATTCTTCTGAAACTTGTTCATTATTGCCTGACGCAACGTTGTCATCTTGTTCGTCTTCTGCATATCCACTAAAGACGTTTTCATCATCATCATCATCCTCATCTGTACCTGCAACATGTACGAGGGATTAGAATGGAGTCGTTTCAGGCTTTTCCACTGTCTCTTGTTTGATTTCGGTTATTGCCTCAGTTTTCAATGGGGTAGTAGCTGATTGTGTTGTTATTTTATTTGCTATTTCCCTCAGTGCAGGTGTCGTCAATTCGATTATCAATAAGGTTACCTTCGAATTACATCTACCTGGTTATCAGTTTTGCGGACCAGGCACCAAATTGAAAAAGAGATTGGAACGCGGCGACACCGGTGTAAATCCTTTGGACGAATATTGTAAAGATCACGATATCGCGTACTCTCAAAGCGACTCATTAGAAGACCGTCATAAAGCAGATCAAGTGTTGGAAAATAGAGCTTGGGAACGCGTTAAATCGAAAGACGCTAGATTTGGTGAAAAAGCTGCAGCTTGGCTCGTAACTACAACAATGAAAGCGAAACTGACGTTTATAGAG